GTTCGAGGAAAGTCGAAAGGGCAAAATGCCGGTCCCACGGGACCTACCCACAAACGAGGAGTCGCAGTCCTCGACCTCAAAGGTGCACGAAGCCAACCGGATAGGAATGATCCAGACCGTAGATTCTGCTTCGGAAAAACCCGAGGTATTCCTCCGAGCCTATCCTATGACCTGGAAAAGCGTTGAGTGTGACTGCGAGGTCTGGGGAAACCCCTCGGTCGCCATCCTAGACTCGGGATCGTCAGCGGTCGCCATTTCCTGGAGATTGACGAAACAATTGGGAAGGGAAGGACAGGTTCAGCCCCTCCGACCGGATGAACTGTATATATCCGCTACAGAAGACAGTATTCATTGTAAAGGGCGAATAACGAACGTGCCTATACGGGTGGGGCGGGTGCATTGTTTGTGCGACGCAATCGTGCTGGATGTACAGGCGTATGATATTCTGCTAGGCATTCCGTGGCAGGTGGCGGTCGGAGCGCGAATGCACTTTGACAGCTGTAAGGTGGTGCTCACATCAGCCCACCCCAAACCACAAACCATACCAACGAGATTGGCGGTGCGTATGCATACCCAGCCGGCGCCTCGAATCACCACGAAAGCCCACCAAATCAACATGATCCGACGCCTGTCGCCAGGCGAAAATGAAACCTCGTCGAGAACTGACGAGACTGACGTTCCCGACCGATATCCGATCCGGGTTCAGGATCGGTGGCACCATTCCTTGCAACGAGAACCCCTGGAAATAGTTCGGAGCGAGTCCAATTGGTCGCACGCGTTCTCCTCCGTGGTGCAGGGGGAACCCCTGCTGAGGGTGTTCCGAATAGCTGACCTTTCGGAACCCCCTGCGTCCTTATATCTCAAGATGGACCCCCTACCTGAAAGATTTACCGAGCGTAGGGGGCTGTGCGATTTATCTTTTCGACCCCTACTCACGAATGAAAAAACCGCGATACTCTTGAACGAGGGGGTGTCGTTTCAACCCCGAACAAGGGAATCTCGGTGGGGACCGAGGGAACTGACGCAGGCCTTTTCGGTAGAACCCTCGGCCGAACCCGAACTGGACAGTGACAGTGACATGGAAAGCGAGCCGATGAGTCCGGCGGACAGTCAACTTATTGCSACTGTCCTTTCGGCGARAACYGACAACTCTTTGTTTGGGGCCTCGCCCGATGCCAGCGAGGCGGTCCCCACGGTTACGACGACGGTCTCCCTTCCTGGGGGAACCGTAGAAGTTCAGTTACCAGCTCGTGTTCCGAATGAATACAGACGCCTCCTCCTGGCGGTTATACGGGCCTATCCAGAGGCCGTCAGTATTCAGGACCACGACATAGGGCTAACCCTTTTGATACAGCACGCGATTGATACCGGGGATCACGCCCCGATACATTGCCGACCGTATCGATATTCCCTTAAAAAAAGACAGCTGGCGTTGGAAAGGGTACGGGAATTCGAGCGGTTGGGGTGGGTCGAACCATCGCTGGGACCGTGGTGTTTTCCCGTGGTCCTCGTGCCAAAACGAAATGGTTCGGTCCGGGTATGTATTGACTACCAAAAATTGAACGCTATCACTACCAAAGGTGTGTATCCCTTGCCGCGAATCGACGATTTATTAGATGCTATCGGGTCCGCTCGAGTCTTTTCCAAGTTCGATATCCGACACGGTTTTCACCATGTCGCAGTCCGACCGGAAGAMCGACCCAAAACCGCTTTTGTCCTATTTGAGGGCACGTGGCAATGGGTCCGGTGTCCCATGGGAATTTGTAATGCCCCTGCAACGTTTCAGCGGGCCATGAATATGGCCTTCGATGAGTTCGTTAACAAAACTCGACTAACCCAGCCCCTGATCAATTTTTGCGTGATTGTGTACATGGATGATATTTAAGTCTTTTCAAAAACACACGAGTACCACGTGGAACACATTGAGTGGGTTTTGCATGCACTAAAAGATGCGGGGTTCAAAGTGGTCTTGGAGAAAAGCGAGTTCTTCTTGTCGGAGATCTCATTCTTGGGGTACATCGTCACGGTCGATGGACTAAAACCGGATCCGAGGAAGGTGGCAGCAGTTCAAGAAGCCCCGGCGCCGGTCACACTCACACAAGTTCGGGCTTTTCTAGGGCTGGCATCCTATTACCGACGCTTCATCAAGGGGTTCGCCGGTGTAGCGAAGCCCCTAACGAACCCGCTGAAGAAAGAGGAGCAGCTGATCTGGACGCCGGAATGCGAAGCGGCGTTTCAGGCGTTGAAGGAGGCTCTGACATCTGCTCCTGTGTTGGCGCGTCCCGACCCGACAAGACCGTTCGCACTGTACACCGACTGGCAGCCACAGGCGATATCGGCGGTGCTGACTCAGCACGGGGCGGACGTAAGGGAACACGTCATTGAGTATGCGTCCAAAACGCTGAGCCAGGCGCAGGCTAATTACGAAGCGTGCAAAGGCGAATGCCTGGTGGTGGTGTGGGGGATTCAGCATTTCCGACCGTATCTTTACGGCCAGAAATTCGTGTTGGTAACGGATCATCAACTGCTGATGTCCCTACGCAACAACACGGACTACATGGGGACGCTGGGAAGGTGGGCGGTGCGTCTGCAGGACTATGACTTCGACATCCGCCACCGTGCAACGCTGCAGCATGGCAACGCTGATGGATTGACGCGCCTCCTACCGCCCAACAAGTGTCCCGCCAACGAGCGACTCATTCCGTGTAGGCCAGAAGCCGCAACGACGAAACCGCGCTACGGGGGGCTACACGTGCTGCGCAAGGACGACGCCTGAGTCCGGAATGGAGGTTTCGCCGGAGATGGCAGACACTATCTCTTTGCCCTCATCCAACTCCCTCGCTCTCTCATCTAGTCCTTACTCATCCCCTGAAACACATCTAAGTCCCTGTTTCTTTTGTACCTTGCCTATGGTCCCGGACCAAGAAGGGTCACATCCGGGAGGGCCCAGTTTTCTTTTGTGGGTGCAGTGTAGTCAGTGTCAAGCGGTCAAATCCCACGGACAATGCATTAGGTACCAACGTGAAAAGACGTGGGTCTGTCCCAACTGCAGAACGGACCAAGTCCCTACCGAGAAACGGTATCTGGACGCACGGACAGCCGATGGATTCGCGCCAAGTGCCCGTCGGGCAGAAGTCTGGACGGACCTTCTGTTGCTATGGAGGCTGTCAGGCGACTCGCTGTCAGAACTTACCAAAGCCGAGCGGCGGAGAGTCACGGAGCGGGCGCAGGACTATCGCAGGCAGGGACCGACGTTACAAAAAAGAAAAGTCGATGATGGCGGAGRRACTAGCTGGTTGACGGTTCTGCACCCTTTCGCTAGGTTCGATTGGACACGAGCCGCTCATGAAGAGGATGCGGTCCATTTCGCGGTCAAGTACACGGAAAAAGCCATTGAAAAGAATGGATGGTACTGGTCGGGAATTCGGGAAGATGTGAAATACATCGTCCAGAATTGCCCAGCCTGCGCGACAGACAAGGCGCCGGTACAGATGCCTCGAACGATGTTGCCTACTCGTGTAGAGCGCCCTTTCAGAGGGTTAGCATCGACACAACGGATATCAACGTTCCGAGAGGTCCCGTCGGTTAGGGAGAGCTCAATGTTCTTTTAGTTGTCGTCGATCATTTTTCGAAATGGATCGAGGCGTACCCTATGACCAGCCGGAATTCGCAGGAGGTAGCCTGGTACGTAAACCGATTTTTGTGCACGCATCTAGACGTAGAAGAGGTACACATGGACAATGGGTCGGAATTTCAATGCGAAGTAGAACGTCACCTAGTCAGGGCGGACGTTAAGATTATTTACTCGCCGGGGCATTGGCCTCAAGCCAATGGCCTGGTAGAGAATGCCAACCGACTGATTAAGACCGCTCTTAGACGGAATATCATTGCGGGAGATACCCGGCCCTGGCCCGTCATTGTCGACCACATTTTGGCCGTCTATCGGGCTACCCCACGCGGTAGTACTGGGGTGTGCCCCTTCCAACAGAGAACCAATAGTGTCCCTCAGGTGCAGTTGTCCCCCTTGGTAGGTACGGAAGTTAGAGCAACACGGGCCCAGCACAGAGATAAGGCCCGCCACTACATGGACTTAATGGCTAGGGCCTATCCCCCGTTAGCTCGCCGGCGACAGCGGACCGTAGATCGGACGTATCAACAGCAGATCCGCGATTATGAGAACCGGCATGCGTCCGCGGGACCACTTCCTCGCTATAAAATTGAGGACTTGGTGCAGGTACGGAAATTCGCGCGCTCCTCCAAGATCCACCCGCGCTACACAGGCATTTACGAGGTAACGGAAGTTGGCACACAGGGACAGCACTCCGTGAAGCTGATTCCCCGTCACAACTCCCAGGCCCGTCCGCTGACACGGCACGCTGCCGTGCTCCGGCCCTTCCAGCCATTGCTAGGCCCCATACGGACCCCCGCTCCTGCGAGATCATCCTCTCCTTCTTTGTCTCCCTCCTCTTCCCGATCTGCCTCGTCCATTGGTGTTGAGAGTTTCAGGGAGCAGGATGAACCATCGCCAGCCGTAGCATGAGCCCCTCGAGCATTTCCAGACGCCACTTGCAGATCGCTTGTTGCGGCATCAGTTCAATGAGGAAAGGCAGTTGCGGTACGACATTCAGCAGGTGAACGTGCCAGCGCCCGGGGTTGCTGATCTGGCGGCGTACTCGTTACTTTGCGATCGGCTGACGTATGCAGGGGTGTACGTGGACGTGACGCAGTTGCCTGGGCGGGAGACGACTCGAGTGTTCATTGAGTTCCGCGCGCTCCGGGTGGCACCCAACTTCGTGCATAGCGTCGCCACCTTTATCGGCGACTTAACGATCCTACCACCGCCGAGTCGGGAGCTTGCGCGTAGTTTTGTGCGCGAGTACACGGTGCAGGCGGCCAGATCAGTGGCCAGAGTGCAAGGACGGGGGGGACACCGATTCACAGCCCACTAAACGCTGCTGCGCAGGGCAGAGGACGGACCGATCTCGTTGGTGCCGCAGCTCCCCGCGCTTCTTCCTCCCGCTGCCCCTCTCAACTTCCAAGCTCTTCCCCCTGCCCCATACTAAATGCCTCCCTTCTTCTCTTACACCACTCTCCCCTATCAACTCACGGAGGGCCCTTATCCTATGCGGGAGTTCTCGGAGTATCTGGTGGAGCTAATTGACATGGAACCGCAGCCCTTCGCAGACGAAGACGCGTCGGAGTTGCACCGTGCGCTGTACAAGTCGGTGGCATTGGGGATGTTCCGATTCTTCGTGGATCACGAAGACCACTGCATCGGGGAACACTTCGTCGTCTACTACGTCATCACACGGCCCAAGCCGGAGCAGAAGGAAGGGACGGTGGTGCTGTACCCATTCGCCCAGCTCCAGACGATCGATCCGGGATTGTTGGAGCTCATACATCTTGAGCTCCTCTCCATTGCGCAAGTGATCGCGAGCGAGGAAGAGGAGATCCAGCCACGATTGCGGACAGCGACGACCCCGCGGAGAACGTACAACGCGGTTGTCATCCCGGATTACATTGCGCAGCGCGCGGAGAGGTTGGAGGACTTCCCGGAGGAAAACTCGTTGCGGCCTCCCTCATCGTATCCCCGACCGGCGCCACCCAAGGCCCCCAAGAAGACGCCGAAGAGGAAGAGACGCCACCCGTCGCCAGGAGCGCAAGGCAGCAGAATCGGGGGCGGCGAGGAGGTGATTCAGCCCGCGCGTACGCGGAATCTTGACCCCGTGCCTGGGAGTGCGGCGACGCTCGTTAAGGCGACTGCCGTGCCATCGCCGCCCTTCCCGCGCGTGCCCGATCTCAATCTTGATGGAGCCGGGCCATCAGCAGCAGCAGCAGCCGGGGGAGGAAGCCGAATGGGAATACCGGATCCCATATCCAGACCCCCCGTCCTCGCGGGACCTCTCCGCTCCCGCCAGCCACCCCGGGGTGCCCCGATCATTGACATTAGCAGTTCCTCCGATCCGGACAGTCCATCCGACAGAGGTGGATTTCATGGTGAGCCCACCACCATCAGGCTCGAGGCCATCGCGGGGGCGCCGCGCCCTGATCCGGCGTGGGAGCCATATCTGACACCACCTTTTCAAGGGTGTATTGCGGCGCGACTGGCTGGGACGCTCATCTACGAGACCGGGCAGCGTCCCAATGTGATGTACCACTTCCTTGTCTTCGCGGCGCAAAAGCGGGAGCGGCGACCTTACACCGAGACTCATGTGGTGATGACGGGTCCAGGGCCCCGATCGGTGTGCAAGCGGGTGGTGCAAGCCGTGGCGGATCTGGCGCCACGTGTCCTGTCTCATGTGTCGGGGGCCTTCCTCTATCCCTCGTTCGTCCAGCATCACTTCCAGGAGGAAGATGCGCCGACGACTCCCGTGGCAATGGCCGCTTTTCTTCCACCTATTTTGCCCCCTCTCAATCCCGACATCGATCACTTCCTCTGATCACCCTCGTCCACCTCTCCCCGCTTCTCTCCTTCTCCCTCTCTTCATCATCTTCTTCCCCTATGCCCAAAGTTCGCGTGTCGAGACGCGCTATATATATATATATATATATATATATATATATATATATATATATATATATATATATATATATATATATATATATTTTTACCGATCGGGCCAGCTGACGATGAAGGGGCCGCCCGATCGGATGTATACTATGGGAGGAGGCGATGGAGGATGCAAAATGCATCCACGTAGATTAGGAAGATGATCGGGCCAGCTGACGATGAAGAGGCCGCCCGATCATCTAACACCTGATGACCTCAGCAGTCGGGAGACTGCTAATTTTTCGGAACCCCTTGCTTATTACAGATGTGATAAGCTCAGACCCGTACCGCGCGGCTTCCCGTATCCCTGAGGAAAAATCCCCCGGAAGCCCCGAGGCACGGATGCGGACAGAAAGGGGTATTTTTTTCCTTTTTGCTTTTGTTTTCTTTTTGAAACGGCTTTTTCAGTTTGTTTGGTTAATAACTCCCGCGTGGGGGAATAGCGGCCGCGGTAGGAAAACCAAGAAACGGTTTCGGTGAGGACTTTTTGAATTTTTGCGCGCGTGCGCCTAAGCTCCGACTTCTTCGCGCGTCTCGCACCCCTGTTTCTTGCTTTGCATCCCCGCACCATCTTCCCTTCTTGCTGCGCGCATTTCCCCCATGCAGGACTCTTTGTCTTCCCCTCCGCCCAGCCCGATCCTTACTCCGCGAAGTGATTGGCCGCGTAGTTGGGATGCTCGGATCAATGTGGAGAGCGGGAAACCGCACACCACTTGAACGGACACCCCAATCACGTAGGACCATGCCATCCCGCGGGTCCAACCCTCTAACTCCCCACCTTCCTCCTGTCCTGCTCATCTACAACCTGCGCTGCCCGCACCTCGCGCTGACAACCCGCCGCCTCCCGCGCTATAAATTCGCGCAACCCTCTCCTCTCTCTCTCTTTGATCTCGGCTGCAATGCTGCGCGAGCTATGCGCGAAAGTCCGCGGCGCCGAACAGGCTCGACGAGCCCAAGGACGGGCGGAGTGGCGACGTGGGGTGGACCCACGGTAGTCTTGGGGCGAAGCAGTCGGAGGGACTGAGCAGTGGTGGGGATTGGACGCCGGCCGCGGCAGGGCCTTGTGGCTATGGTGGTCGGTGGTCTTGGGAGGTTTTGAAGGCTGCGCCTGGGGGCGRCAGTTAATTGAGAATTTTTGTGTACAAGAAGGACTCGCTTTTATCTCCATTGCTGCTTTGTCTATGCATGACGTGTGTGTGAAGCCCCGAGTGATGGGAGCTGGTTGTGCGCATGAGTGATGTCGAAGGTCTATGGATGATTGGATGTCCTGTCAAGGGTTGTTAATTGCATGCATGTATGTGTGTATGTACTTATCCGGGCGGGGACGGGGGAACTGAACTGGAGGACCGTCTGCTTAGGAGTATGAGTGTGTTGATCCTCTTGTTCCCCTCCCCTCCGCGGCCTTTCCTGCGCGCACGCGCAGTCTTGTTGAACTCACTCTCTCTCTCTCTCTCTATCGCCTTTCTTTTTGAACTGATAGTCATCGCTTTTGGAACTTCTCGTCCCTGCACCGGTGACGTCAACCGCCTGCGTCCGCGCGCGCGGTTGACGCCCCCGCAAGGGGAAGGGAGCTTAGATTTCGTCATCTTCTTCCGACGAACCCACCTTGAGAGAGAAGAGTTGCGTCGAGTGTTGTATGGAGTCGGTGTTGGTTCGGATGACTGGGAGCGCGGGAGTTTGCCCGTGTTCATCGCTCACCTCCCATCATCTCATCTCGCTACCGACCTTCCCCATTGCAGATGACGACAGCGTCTACTGCGATGCGGATGTACGGCGCGCGCTGAGACAGACGGAGCGAGTGTGTTGGTGAGACCCGCCCGGGGCGTGTAATATAGGGGGGAGCGGGTTTGTCTTGATTGATCCCTTTGATTCCCCGACTCTAATATTGCCTTATACGGGTTTGACGGTGTTGCCCTGGTCGGCCGCTCACGCCGCGTGGCGGCCGCAGTTTGATTGTCGCTGGTGTCGCCAGGGGGACTCGTGTTCTTGGCGACGCTTGGTCCTGGGTTACGAGGGAGCGACACGTTTCCCCGAGCTCTCCTGTAATGCGGGGGCGCTGCCCGCGTAATTTCAAATTTGGATGCCGGCGAGTCCTCCCGCCGCTTCACCCTCTCGGAAACTTCCGCGCGGACTTTGCGAGTCCGACGCCGAGACTTGAAGGCCTCGAACCAACCACTTCTACAGCAAAAACCCGACGGTCTGGTCACTTCACGAGGCCGATGACGAGGCCTGAAGGCTTCGAACCCACTACCTATCCCTCAAACCCATGACGGTCGGAATTTCTGTCTTCCGTCGCCATGGCCCTCTCCCCTTGATGCCCTTTCCCGTCCCGATGCACGACGGTAGTTCGTTTTTGCGGAAACCCTTCTGATTTTATCGCTCTGAAGTGATCCGACCCCCACGGGACTTCGCGACGACAGTTCGACTCGGGGGTAACCCCGAAACGAGAGCCTCCCGTTCCGTCCGGGAGACTCAACCCCTAAGGCCAAAAATCCTCGGCCACGCCCCTCCTAGAACTCTGATCGGCGACCTAGTACGGAAAGCCGCGAGGGGGCGTGAGGTTGCGTATCACATGCCGGCCGGTGCTGGGGCATAGCCCTGTAACCTGTTTGCCGGACCGCAAGGCCTGGTAGAGAGATCTGGGGAAAGGTCAAGGGTGGAAGGCATTCCAGTGGCCAGCCGGGGGTTGTGGCTAGGATAACGATGGTCGGAGCTGGGATGGGTTGCGCTGCCCTTAACTTAGCATGTTGGGGGTGTGAGGCCTAGTAGAATCCTGGCTTCGAAAACATGACAGTCATGGTAGGTGTTGATTTGGTCTATTGAATGGTCACTCAGAATGCTGGTATTTGGTAGGTTTTCTTGATGTGAGGCTAGAAGTGGTTCATGAATTTTCCTGACTTTTCCTGATTGTTCTCAGCTGAATCCGGGTAATGGCCCCGGTATATCAATCTGTTCATTGGAATTCAGGAGGGATGCTGAGCCTAGTTCCCAGCACATGTTGCTCCCCACAAATAGATTGGAGCAAATTTTCCAAGAAAAAAAAAGATTTAGAAATAATGGCGGACGCAGCATGTTTCGAAACGCTAAAGACAAAAAGAACTTGCGCCAGCAAAGAAACCGGGCGCGAACTTGAAATGAGCGATTTCGGTCCAAAAGTATCCGTTGGGCTTTTTTTTTTTTTTTTTTTTTTCCCCTCTGACACCACGGCCAACTCCTGTAAATATGACACCCGGTCTGACACTACGACAGTCGGTACTTCAGTTGCCTTTCCGAACTCGGCATGGTTTTCATTGCCGACGGGTGTTTTTTTTGCCCATTCGATACTCAAAGGTGACATGAAAGTACTTACCCTGAAGATTTATTTTCTGTTCCCCCCTTGCAGTATCACTTTTTTTTCCGAGGGGTTGAGGAACATAGCACGAAGTAGGCCTTCGCCGATGAGGTGTTATCTAGGGGAATGCTTACTGGCGGTTCCTCCAGGCAGTCCCGTTCTTGAGGAGGAGACATTTCCCTCGATTTGATTTCTGGAGCCTCTCTGCCCACAAGACATGGTGTGCCTGTCGTCTGCTTCCCGTTTGGTGTGAACTGGTTGTCTGTTCACTGCAAACAGTCTGTGCAGACTGTCTGATTTGTCTGATGTTTGCTGTTATTCTTTGCATTCTGTAAGCTGCTTTCTGTTGCATCACGAGGAGGCACCAGAGTTCAGTCATGGGGGGTGGTTCCCTCTCTTCCCCGCCATTACGTTATGATGTGTGTCATCTGTTCGCTCAATGGCATAACTGCAGAAGGAGTCTAGGACAGAAGTTAGGGGTATTCTGAGAGGACCGTCAGGTCTGAGAGAGAGCGTGTGAGACAGACCATATAAGTGTTGCCAGCAGCCATAGCGGCCAGAGCTTGAAGAAGACACTCTTGTACATAATGGTTGACTTGCAGAGACCATTGCGGCACCAGCCATTTAGCTCCAGTAGGCCATGCCCCAAAAGTCACAGCATGAGCATGGCTTCATTGGAGAAAAATGGCTGGGAAAAGTGCTGGTGGTTTAACATGGACCCTGCCTTTAGGGCCAAAGGTTAAACCCCCAAGCATTGAAAAGGGCATTTGGGGATCATACAAGCCACGACATTAGGAAACCACCAGTACTTCCTCAAGTTGTGCCTGTAAACAAGCCGCGGCTTTAGGAAACGTACAGGCCAGTACAGAATCGCCCAAATTCATCCGACTAGAAACTTTCTACTCTATTTCTTTCCGTGGCTGATAGCTGGGCCAAGTACTGGTGAGGGGTCGGATCTCAAATACAAATGAACTGAAGTGGATGCCACACCTTTGCAACTTGTAGTCAAGGACGTTGCTGTCTTGAAATCTGAAGTTGCCTCTAAGACGTCACAACAAGAAAGAGCCATTTGCTAGAGCCATTGCCACTTCTTCCACCAGACAGAATGGAAGGTCATGATGGCTGCAACAGGATACGGCTATAAAACCATGCATTCTGAGGAGAGAGGAAAGACATGTCAGCCTCCAAGATCTTTGGGCAGCCGCGGCGGCAGCTGAGTCTCCGAGGTGGAATTCAAAAGGCTATGCAACCTCAGCTGTAATTTAGGGGGCGTGGGTGACCTTTACTGGAAATTGTAATAACTTGCTGGTGGAAGAAAAACTTGAACAAGTATCCCACCTCACTCCTGAGCCGATTGATTGTCAGCCCTGCAGATAGATAATCTCATACCACCAGTACGCTTCCCGGCCGTGTTTTCAAACAAGTATGCTGCCACAGCTTTCAGGGCTCGGACTCCGGAGCAAAATGGCTGGCATCACCACCCAAAAGGAGGCCCAGCCCGATTCGTTTTTTTTTTGGCGCGCAGAGCATATCCAGCCCCGGAGCAAAGTGCCTCAGAGGTACTGGTGGTTCAACAGGTCAGAAGCAATTTAGCATGTGAGCTCATGCCCTCAAATAGGACGCATGGTCGTTGT